TTTTGTGTGTGTGTGTATGAGTATTTTGCCTGCATATATGCACATGTGCCACATGCGTGCCTGGTGCTCCTGGAGGCCAGAAGAGGGCACTAGATCACCTAGAACTGGAATTACAGCTACCCTGTAAGGGTTAGGAATCAAATCCAGGTCCTCTGAGAGAGCAGAAAGTATTCCTAATAGCTGAGCCATCTCTCCTCCTGTTCGTCTTTTGATTTTAAAGTTTGAAGAACATTGTGTGTGTTTGTGTGTGTGTGTGTCAATGGGTGGTGTTAAGTTTGAAATTTTCTGAAGGCTTCTATTTCCTCGTTCTCTCTGGCATTCTGAAACAGAAGGAACTGCAGTGGTTTGGTGTGGTCCTCAGATACCCCCCCCCCCCCCCCCCCGTGAAAAGGCATCTCCACTCATCTATCTCCAGCTCTGTGGTGGTTTGATTGAGAATGCTCCCCCAGGCTTATTATGTATGAAGGATTGGGAGGTGTGGTCTTATGAAATAGGTCTCGCCCACACCAGGCTCAGTCTCTTCCTCTCTCTGCCTGCTGCCTGTGGATCAGGATGTAAAGCTCTCAGCTACTGCTCCAGCACCATGCATGTCTGTTCCCCACCATCATAACAGACCAACCCTCTGAAACTGTAAGCAATACCAGAATTAAATGCTTCCTCTTACTGGTTGCCTGGGTTATGGCGTCTCTTCACAGCAATGGAATGGTAATGAAGACAGTCTCCAACACCCCGGCCCAGTGTCACACCTTACCTCTCAGCCCCCCAGCCAGAGGCTGATTCTTCATGTGTCACACATGACTGGTGGCCAGTGATTAAAGTGATGGTCTTTTTTTTTTTTTTCTCTTTAAACAGGGTTTCAAGTAGTCCAGCGAGGCCTGGGACTCCCTAGGTAGTTCTGATGGTTACTCTTAGCTCTCAACTTGACCACATCTGGAATTAACTAAAACCCAAACAGCTGGTCACACCTGTGAGGAATTTTTCTTGGTTGAATTATTTTTTTATGAAGCTATATTTGTTTTTTAAATATTTATTATGTATACAATATTCTGTCTGTGTGTATGCCTGAAGGCCAGAAGAGGGCACCAGACCTCATTACAGATGGTTGTGAGCCACCATGTGGTTGCTGGGCATTGAACTCAGGACCTTTGGAAGAGCAGGCAATGCTCTTAACCGCTGAGCCATCTCTCCAGTCCTTGGTTGAATTATTTTATTTGAAGTGGAAAACCTACCCCAAGCCCAGACCACCCTACATCTGGGCCACACCTCCTGGAGGCAGCCCACATAAACAGACATGGGACATGGAAGAAGAAAGATTCACTTTTTGCCTGCTTGTCCTCACTCTCACTGGCAAGTTCATCTATCCTGTCCCTGAGCCATTCCTTTGCTGGCGCTGGAACTATTTCCTTGGGATTCCAATATGGACTGGAAATAGACAGCTGTCTAGGACATCCCTGAGACACTAACCCTGATGTCTCATGGACTGAACAACTGCCGGATCCTTGGCCACTGTTGGACTACTCCAGTGGTTCTAATCTTTCCCAATGCAGTTCTATACAGTTTTATACCCTTCTATACAGTTCCTCATGTTGTGGTGACCCCAACCATGAAAGTAATTTTGTTGTTACTTCCTAACTGTAATTTTGCTGTTATGAATCATATTGTAAACATCTGTGTTTTTTGATGGTCTTAGGCAACCCCTGTGAAAGGGTCTTTTGACCCTCAAAAGGGTCTTAACCCACAGGTTGAGAACCATTTAACTACTCAGATCACAGCCCATGCCACTCTAATAACTTCCATATACATATGTACATATATTCATTCCATCAGTTTTACTCCCTTAGAGAACCCAATACAGTAGCCAAGGACTCTGATCCACTGTTTCTGTTATTGTTGCTGTTCTCATACACGGCCTTACCATACAGCCCTAGCAAGCCTGGAAGTCACTATGTCTGAGCCAGACTGGCCCCTGCTTCTTAAATGCTGGGATTAAAGGTGTGCCACTATGGCCAGACTGATCCATCCTCTTTAAAAAAATATTTTAAATAAATATGCAATTTTCAGATGGTGTTTGTGTGCACATGTGCCATAGCGTGTGTACAAAGGACAACTTTGGGAGGTGTGCTTTCCTGCCAGATCAAAGTAGATGTCAGCTGTGGGGCAGGAGCTCTTACCTGCGGAGTCGTCCAGGCGCTGGAGTTACAGGTGCATACCATTACACCAGGCCCTCACCCCTTTTAAGACATTTTGTGGAGGTCAGACAGCAAGCTGAAAGAGTCAGTTTCCCCCTCTACCACATGGGGTTCAGAGATCTAACCCAGGTCCTCAGGCTAGGCAGCAAGCCCCTTACCTGCTGAGCCACCTTGCTGGTCGTTTTATCAGGGGACAGAATCTGGCTATTTCTAATGATGGCTTGAAACCCAAGACCGTTGCGCACAGTATAAAGGTGTGCTGTCACACTGGCCAGTGAAAAGCATGACTCAGCTAAGGTTCTAGTACCTTCGCGTGTCAGTGAAAGGGGATATGCAGTCACATGAGCTGCTTGTGGTCCTGGCCTTGCCTCTGCACATCTCCTCCTACTGTGCCGTAAGACTGCTCAGCTTAGCAGAAAAGACCTCCACCCAGCCTGACATCTGATTCTAGGTCACCCTTCTAAGTTCATGCCCTGGTTAGAACACATTCTCTAAAATGCAGAGGATGATGACACACGCAAATCTCTTAGCCGGAGGCCCTTCCAGTGCTCAGACACATCTCTTCTGAATCAGACCCAGTGAGAGCTCAGCAAGGGTCTCTGCTAAACCATGGAGGTGGTCCCCTGCCTGTCAGACACAACACACTACTGCTGTCAGCTTTGGTCACTGGTAATGCCAGGAGATTCTGACGGCACAGCAGAGAAATAGAGGTCGAGCCTTTGGGAAAGTAGATCAGGAGGAGCTGGGGACCTGAGGCACAGTTCATGAAACCCCCTTTCCCTCTGAAGGACCTTGTCAAGTGCAAGAAACCAAGCAAAAGAAGCCCAGACCTACTCATGTGAAGAGGTAGAGCTTTATTGAAATATAAACATTCAAGAACATGTAAGACAGAAAATAACCACAACATATACGGACACTTGCTGTGAGGGGACGTCTGAGGTATTTATTCACGGCCTAGGCTACCATGTGCTATCACATTTTTTTTTTCTGGTTAGAATACATACAAGACATGAAAAGGGGGATGCTGTCCTGCCACGTGACTTTCAGGACTATGCCTGCAGGGGAAGCTCCACTTGGGCCAGAGCCCTAATGCTGGGCACATATGGGCACCCAACTCTTGCATTTTCTGGCTAGGAGCCTGCTGCTGGCTTGAGGGAAGTGAGGGGCATGGAGAGGGACAGGTGGACAGCTGCCTGGGGAAAGAGAAAGGAGATCTGATGACCAGAAAGACCTGCATTGTCCCCGTTTCCCCTGAATAGGAAGGGTCTATCCTTCATGACTAAATCCTGAGACACACTGGCCAAATAGCCTTCTCACAGCACCAGAACCCAGACGTCCTCTGCCCAACCCTGCATGTGCCTGGTGGGTAAGGCTTCTGAGGCCAGAAGAGGGTCAGATCCCAGTATAAGAGCTATGTGTGTGAGTTACTGAGCATGTGTGTCCTGGGGCAGGGAAAGGAGCCAGAAGTCAGCAGAGTGGCGCTTGCCAGGTTGAGGTATATTTGTGCACGAACTTTTGCTTTCCCTTTCTTGTCCTAGTCAGGACTGCTGGGCCATGGGGTGGTTTCACTGCCACAACCTGAGTAGTCCCAGCGGGTGATGCCTTATGTAACAGGGTAGAGCACACTGGGATGAGAGTGGAGCCCTGGTAAGGACCACCCTTTCTCTACCACAGTGGCCTGTTCCAGTTACATGCTAAGAGGAGACAGAGCTCTCAGTTCTGGGGCTCAGCCTTAAGCAGGGCCCACAGCCATTTCCTATGTCCCAAGGCGAGGGCTCCAAGGGCAGAAAGAAACCCTGCCCTACTCTGTCAGCTAGGGTAAGGGCAGAGAGAACCAGTGTGGTTTCAGGATCCACCAGCAAGCATGGGTCCCTCCACCCCATCCTCCTGCTGTGGAGGTCCCTGAGTCACCCCACCTGCTCCACCTCCTGGCCAGAGCATGGGCAGGTTGGAGGGAGGCTGGCTGCACCGCACCCGGCTGGGGTGATCTGCTTTCATTTCTTTGGTGCTACAACAGCAACAACAATAAAAATTAAAAAATTAAAGTCAGCAAAACATATATAAAAAAGATTACAGAGATGCAAATACTTCCTGAAGAATCAAATATCAACAATTACAAATCTGAGGTATTTCTGTGAGCCTGACATCAGCATGTCTGGGGCTGGTAGGGCTGAAATGGCCCCAAGAGACGACAGAAGGGGCCAGAGACAAGTGGTATCTTGGGAGAGCTGGCCAACATGGGCAGGCAGGGAGCTGAGGTTTAGGGATTAAATGGAGTCTTGTCAGGTAGGTCCCAGGGCCTTCCTCCTTTTCATGTGCAGAGGCCCTGAACCTGAAGCTTGCCCTCACAGTTTTTTTTTCTTAGAACAACAAAGGGAATATTCCAGGGCCCTGAGGACTGAAGTTAAGACTTGGATTGAGAGACTCATGCCCAAAGAATCAAGCAGTAAGCAAGGAGGACTGGGAAGGCCCACCCCATCCCATGCTCAAAAGATTAGAGCAAGGAAGACAAGCTTCTGCTCCTAAAGCCCCAAATGGGACTTACATACTGGGGGACTGGGCAGACTAAGAGATTGGTGATCCTGGGGTGAAGGCAGAAGGCAGCAGAAGGGAAATAAATTAAGGGGAAGGGAAATGAAAAGCCTCCAGCCCCATGTCGCCTTACAGATTGTCGATACACTGCTCTGGGATGGGGAGTGGTTGGGAACCCTGGGGAAGCTGGATGCTCAGATACCCCACTCACTTCTCCAGGACAATCCCTGATTGGACAACGCTGCTCTGTCCTGCCCCTGCCCCCCTCCCCAAGTCTCTCCTTGTCCCCAGAGTACAGCAGAACCTGAATGGAGCCTGAACAGACGAACACTTCCAAATTCAACATCTGGCCAGATGGTATCTGATGTGGGCTCCATGAGATGAGGTAAATTCTGTGCATCAATCTCCCTTATTCTCTGCAGGAGAGTAGGGAATGGGTGCTGGGTGCTGCTCATCAGAGGGACCAGCTGGTCGAGGGCTCTGCACTGGGGGTGCCCCGGGATGAGGTAGGACTTGGTGAGCAGTGAGAGCTGGTGCTGGTGCTGCTGGTGCCGCTGCCAATGCTCTGGGGAGCAGAGCCTGCAATGAGGTGGACCACTGGTTTCTGGGCAAATAGCACACCTGGGGTGGGAGGAAAAGCAGTATGGGCTCAGTTCAATTAAACAAGGCATGACTGTTGGCCTAACCCTGTGTGCTCCATTCTCCTACCATGCTCCAGCTGTCAGTGGAAGCCCAGACAATTGTCCTGCCATCAAAAGGTCATACGCTGCTGAAGGACAGGCATGTAACCAGTGTCTTTGCTAGAATGACATAAATGTTCTGAGCCTGATGTAACTCTGCTGTTGGGGACATCATAAGGGTTTTAGAGAAAGGAACACAAGTACAGCCCAGAAAAGGTTTTGGTGGAAAGTATGTGTCTAGATTCCTTGAAAGAGAAAAAGCAGCAAACTGAAGAGATGGTGACCAGGGAACCTGAGACAAAGCAACATGAGAGGTTATGCCACTGGGGCTAGTGGTTTAGGCAGCAGTAGAGTAAGGAGCTAAAAAGGTGGGTGGGGCCTTGAATAGCTATGGGAACCCATTTGGAGGCTCTGAAGTTTTTTTTTTTAAATATTTATTTATTTATTATGTATACAGCATTCCTTCCATGTATACTTGCAGGCCAGAAGAGGGCACCAGACCCTATTACAAATGGTTGCTGGGAATTGAACTCAGGACCTCTGGAAGAGCAGGCAATGCTCTTAACCTCTGAGCCATCTCTCCAGCCCCCAGCCCTGAAAGTTTTAAGCAGGAGAAGGACACCAAGACATTTGGAACTCAGAATGCTCCCTGGAAGGTCAGAGAATGAGGATGCTCAAGTCCTAGGAACCCTGCAGAGGAGTTGGCCTAGCAGAGGCAGCAAGCACAGGCGTGAGAAGCAGCATGCAGAAGGGAGTTAATGGAAGATGGTAGCCTTGAGTCTCAGAACCACCTGAGGTTCCTGGACACCACATCCCCACTGAGAAAGCTTGGAGCAGAATAGCAGACAGGGTCAAGACAGGTGAGAGGCGCATTTTGTCAGAGTGTTGGGAGCCTCAACTCCTGACTTTTTCTGAGAGCAAAGGAGAAAGTTACCCACTTCTTCGTCCTAGGAAAATGACAAGAGGATATCGAGATCTAGTCATAACTCCCAGTTCCTGTTTTCTTCAGGACTCAAACTAGGCCCAGATGTCCCAAGCCATATCATGAATGGGCACAGGGTACCAGGACAACACAAGAGACTGGCAAGCCACAGTGGCATGGCTGTTTCTAGGAATTCATCCTTTCCTGGCTGCATTCTGATGCTGTGGCAGGTGGCCAGGGGCTATTCCTAGGGAAACACACTGGTTAGAATGCAAGGTTTTACTGGTCTGCACATGGATGTTCTCACCAGGCAGCCAACATACCCTATGCCCTGGTAAAAACAGGCAGATGTCACCCAGCCTGAGCTTGCACCCAAGTCTGTATCTTAAACAAATGGAATAGCCAGGGATTCAGGGTTGGGTCTGTTGCCTATGTGAACTCTATGTTGACTTTGAAAGATACAGATGCAAACCCAACCACCTACAAAAATACTACAGGGAGCCGGGTGGTGGTGGCGGACACCTTTAATCCCAGCACTCGAGAGGCAGAGCAGGTGTATCTCTGTGAGTTTGAGGCCAGCCTGGTCTACAAGAACTAGTTCCAGGATAGGCTTCCAAAGCAACACAGAAAAACCCTGTCTCAAAAAAAAAAAAAAAAAAAAAAAAGATATAATTGAAAAACAGCAAGGCCCCCCAGGGTCAAGGCTGCTTCTGCAACACTCAGATTCACTGCTGGTATATATTTAGTTTTGACAGGGTCTCATTCTGTAGTAGTCTGGCCTTGAACTCATGATGTGACTGTCTTAGTCATCTGAGTGCTGGAGCTGCATATATATGCTACTATACCTAGCTACATGAGTATCATAGTCCTTAGTTTATTTAAGACAGGGGATGGGGTTGGAGTGATAGATCAGCAATTAAGAGCAGTGGCTGCTCTCCCTGAGGACTTGGGTTAGATTCCCAGCATCCACATAGTGTACAGACATACATGCAGATGGATGAAACACTCATGCACAAAAAATAATAAAGTACTTTTTAAAAGAAGATATGGATCTGGGCATGGTGGTGCAAGCCTTTAATCCTAGCACTCAGGATCTGAGTTTAAGGTCAGCCTCATCTATAGAGTAAGTTCCAGGGACAGCCAGAGCTACACAGAGAAACCCTGTCTCACTACTCCCCTACCTCAAAACACATACAAAAAAAAAAAAAACCAACAAAACAAACAAACAAACAAAGACCATTAATGAGTCAGGGAAAGGAGTCTTGCTCTCTGGAAGACTATGCATGGTAAATGGTGACCTAGCTCATAATATTCTGAAAAGTGTATATAGGATTGTTGATAAATAAACCCTCATGCTAAATGACATCTTCAACAAGCCAGCCACTGACTGGAAGGGTTCCTATCACTGTTGAAGAAGACTGGCCATCTTATCAATCTATGCACCTATAGTCCAGGACCTGTGTATCTTAGGAATCTTGATTCAATGAAAAAGGACATCTCCATTCCTAACACACACACACACACACACACACACGCACGCACACACGCACGCGCACGCACGCACACACGCACACATGCACACACCCCACAGCACGTGCCCCAAGGTATCTGAGAGAGCAAGACAGGGCAAGCTGGGAAGCTGCACTGTGACTGGCAGCTAGCATGGGTCTCCCCGCAGCTCCAGGGCCTACCTGCATAGGTGGTGCCATCAATATCCACAGACATATTGATGCTTCCAATGCTGCTTGTAGTCAGGTTCAGTGCTGCAGCAGAAGTCTCTGCTCTGTCTTCTGTGGAATCAGAGACAGAAGACCTGGTCAAGCTTCCTGCTGTCCTCTGGTGCTGCTTAGTCAAGTTGGTCTGTGGTCTAACACTCACTAGTAGCTGTCTCAACTACCTCTCGTCATAGGTCTGGCAGCAGAACCAGGCTCACCAGCTGCTGCCAAGTTATTCCCGGACTCTCAGAGTGAAGGAAGAGCAGGCCAACCCCAACTGGGTTCCCACTGTACATCAGCTCCGGAAATTAGCCCTGGCTTCCTCCTGCCCCTGATCCATCTGAACTGTAGGTTCTCTGGAGAAGGATCTTTTGCCTCTAGCACCTTGCCTTCCCTGCCCTCTGGGGCAGCTGGCACACAGGACGTCTGCCTGGCTCTGACCTTTGCCTTCCCTCTACAGAGTCAAGCATTCTTCCACGTGAGTTGCCTTCTTCCACTGGTCTCTAAATGGTCCCCTCTTCCAATCATACAGGAGGGCTGCTTGGGAATCTCAAAGGCTTCTTTCACAGCTGCCTCTCTTCCCAGCACACAACTGCCCATGTTTGCTGACAGAGAGCCACAGCAACAAGGGCATAGAAAGAGGGCTTGAATGGGAGAGCTGGGAGAAGAATGAGGGAAATGGAATGTGTATTTTAGGAAAAAAAGGTGGAAAATTAGAAAAATGAAGAGGGGAAAAGGGAAAATGTCAAACGTACTGCTAAACTTATATTGCCTACTTCTTTTCTTATTTCTGAGGTCACTGGTGTCTCTGCTATTTCTCAGGAAGGACAGACCTGACCACAGCCTGCATCAGGTAAAGTGGATGGGATGGACGCAAACCCTGTAATTTAGACAGAGCAAGAGGCTAGGAAGGGTGGGGGAAGCACAACATCTGTCTCCTCTGTGAATAACCACTTTCCTTTTTGTTAGAGTACAAGGACTTCACTGCTGGAAGCAACTTCTGACCTAGAAAACATCAGGATGGTGAGATCTTGGTGGGTACAGAACCTCCAGTGGTTCTCTTCCGGCCTCTAGAGTCTTCTAGGGCAGTGAAGGCAATGGAAGGATGATTGGAGAGGACGTTTCCTAGGCCAGGAGGTCAGGACATATTACAGCCACCCAGCCTCAGGGCCTTGAGTGGAGCTGGGGTGTGGCAGGCATTATGAAAGACGGAGTTACACACTGATGCTTACCCCTGCCATTGATCCTGATCTTCATGGGGAGCTGCCGTGCCATGCTCAAGAGGTTGCGCTGGAAGGCCTGCTGCACCAGGCGCTGCTCCTCCTCCGACAACCTTGATGTCTTCTTCTCAGGGGGCTCCCCTGATTCTAGACGCTCCCGTAGCTGCTCCAGTGTGCCTGTCCGGTTGCCAGCCTGCTGGCCTGCCAAAGTCCCAGGCACAGCCAGGCGATTTGGCACAGGCACTGCTGTCACTGGGACTCCATCACCTGAGAAGGAAACAGAGCTAGACTGAATCCACAGTGACTTACCCCTCCACCTCAATGCCCCTCCTGGACAAAGGGAAACTGGGCTTCCTTTCTCCATCCCTTCCCTCCTCCAAAGGCCCTGCTCACCTTTCCTGAGAGTAGATGCTGGGGATATCCGAGGGCTACTGGCATTGGTACCACTGCTGGAGCCAAGTCCAAGGATAGAGAATCGGATCTTGGGAGGCGATAGAAGGGCAGGGGCCCCAGCAGTGGCAGCACTAGCAGCAGCAGCGGCGGCGGCAGCAGCAGCAGCAGCAGTGGCAGGAGAATAGCCAAAGAGGGAGGAGCTATAGCTGGGCCTCCGACCTTCCCGACGATTGCCATCAATGGCAGCCTGTAGTTCAGCTGGGGAGCTCAAGGCTTTCTTCTCACACTCATAGGCATATAGATACTTCATGTACCTACAGAGGGAGGAAGAATAATATATAAAACACAGTACCAGAGACTATCTAGTTTAAGCTGATGTGTCTTTGGAAGCAGCCTTGATCAGGCAAGAGCTAGAGTGTGGCCTGTACAGCAGAAATAAAAAGAAAGTCTGGGCTCACTGGACACATTCCTTCAGGCTTCTCTAGTGCTACTCAGATATACACACTGCTTGAATCTGAAGCATCAGTCATAAAAGGAACCTTAAGGCCTTAGCTAAAATCTTTTCCACTGGCCTCTATACCTTTGGAATGCCTTTAAGGAGCAAATCTTCCCACTGGATGGGACCCAGGAGGGCTGCCCTTCTTTGTATGTTTCATCTGTCCCAAGGATCCATTCTTTCCCCCATACACTAACATTCTAATTACAGCTATTTCTGCTAGAATAGTCCTGATGTATAAAAGCCTTTCTTTCTTTTTACATTTACTTATTTTGTGTGCATGTGTGTGCACACATTATGGGCATGAGCGCATGCATGCCTTGGTGCTGGTATGGAGGCCAGAGAACAACTTGCAGGAGTCCTCTTCTTCTACAATGAGGATTGGGCTCTAGGTACTGAACACAGGTAGGCAGGTATGGCAGCAAGCAGCTACCTGCTGAGCTTTCTTTCTGGCCCCCAAAACTTACAATCTTCCCTCCCTCCCTCCCTCCCTCCTCTCTCTCTCTTTTGAGACAGGGTTTCTCTGTGTAACAGCCCTAGCTTTCTTGGAATCTACTCTGTACACCAGACTGGCCTTAAACTCAGAGATCCATCTGCCTCTGCCCCCTGAGTGCTGGGATTAAAGTTGTGTGTCATCACTGCAGCCTGGCCCTTACCATCTTTCAATAAAGGCCAGGGCATGATACCTGACAGATATGTCAACTGTTCTTTCACAGAGAAGCTAGAACATTCCAGAAGAATATTTTCCACTTTGGCTTTCATTCTAAATGGCTACTCTTGGATTTACTGTTTCTGTCAACCCTTGTAACTAGTCAATCAGTAACAAAACAGGTCAGCGACCAAATGAGGCTGGACTGACCCGAGGCTGAATATAGGGTAAGAGGGGCCACTGGACAAAGTGTAGAATGTAGGGACAGAAGCCCAAGTCTGAATTTCAGGTCTACTGGCCCAGTATGGCATTGGCTAAATGGATTAGCACAGGGTTGTTTTTATAATCTACAAAATGGGAATGGATCTATTTGCCAGGGCTGATTATGAGGTTTAAATCACACAGAATAATAAAATATTGACATACAATAATCATGGTGAGGACATCTCTTCAGGTCTGAGGGATTCACCTCAAAGGCTCCTCACTGTTTCAGGAATCTAAGTCCTTTCTTCCCTTCCTCAACTCGGGCCTAAACAACCTAATATGTGCTCGGTTTCCTTTTCAGCTACGGCTACTCACTGGGTCCTGAGAGTGAAGGCAGCACTGGTGATGGACGTGGGCAGGTTCAGGCCTTTGGTGATCTCCCTCCAGATTTTCTTGTTGATTATCTCCACCAAGCCCCCCTTCTCTGTGACCAGTTTATATAGCATATACAGGTCCAGGATCTGCTTGGCCATTATGGGAATCCGGTTGATAGGAGTGCCTGTGATTGTCCAACAAGACAGAGGCTGTGTTAGTCATGCTGAGCAAGAAGGCATCAAATCTGTACACACCATTAGTAGGCTGTACACAAAGCTTGTGACTCTCAGAAGTGTGCTCTGACTCTAACGCCCTAGACATGACACAATTAGACTCAATGCCAGTTCTGTCCAAAATAAGTAGGACAGGCCCAACTTGGGGGTTGGTGTGTGTGTGTGGTCTGAAGCAAGTTCCTTAGCCTTTCTGATCTAGATGAATTTAGAGGGTGTTTTGTTTGTTGTCAGAAGTACAATCTCAGATGATTTCTAATAGTTTGGCAACTTACATTCCTGGAGCCTTTGGAGTCAATTTCTGCCCAGGCCCTGCCGACCATCCACCTGCTTACATTTTTGTTAGTACTAAGATCAGTTAAGAAAACATGCTCCTAGGCAGACTGCCTGCCTTCTCTCCTGAGACAGGATGGAGAAACTGTTTTCTTTTTCTCTTATGACTAGACAAGTCAAAGTAGATACTGGACATAAAGGTCTCTCAGGGAATAAAAAGCCACTCAACAATTCTTTTCCCACTCAGTAATCACTCCACCTCCTCCCTGGCCTCTGAAAGAGGGAGGGTCAGAGCAGCTTCCGCCCACTGGCCCAGAGGGGAAGTGAGAGGGAGCCGGGGACTTGATTAGGAAACCTGGCACTGGGCAGGAAGGGCTACTAATGAGCACCAGGGGACAGGAGTGAGGGAGGGGCCCAGGTCCTTTCACAGAAGGCTGGGATGCTCGTCAGGAGGCGTGATGGATGACTGTCATTTGGCAGCCTCGGGATTAATGATCTGGAGGTCAGAGGGGAGAATTCCACAGGGAAGGGTCAGCATCCGGGGCAGCGAATGAGACTTGTTGCCTTTTGATGGCAAACTCCTCTTACTGTACATGGACTGCTGCTCCTGCCCCACCCCTTCCCTGCCCCCATCTTATTGAGTTGCCTTATAGTGGCAAAGCAGCATGAACAGAGGCTGCTCTTTTCCAGTGCTGATACTTTACCCTTCAGCTGAACATCAGTCTCACCAGGAATAACATTTTTGGGAGCAGGGTCTAGCAAAGTTGACCAGGCTGGCTTCAATGTAAAACCCTCCTACCTCAGTCTCCCAAGTGCTGGCCTTCTGAGACAGGACAACATGGCCCATTCATCAGCTGTTTCAGATAATCCAAACAGGAGAATGGAATAAAGGGCTTCCTACCCCACCCTAAAAAATATCTTATGTGGGAGCTGAAAAGGTGGCTCAGCAGTTAAGAGCATTGGCTGTTCTTCCAGAGGCCCTGGGTTGGATTCCCAACATCTACATGGAGGCTCACAACCATCTATAATTCTAGTCCCAGGGGATCTGATACCCTCTTTTGGCCTCTGTTAGAATTGCATGCACATGATACACAGACACATACAGCAAAATACCTACACACATAAAATAATAAAATATATGGGCATGGTGGCACAGGTCTATAATCTTAGCACCTACGAGGGAAAAGGGGGTGGATCTCTGTGATCTGTGAGTTCAAGGCCAGCATGGTCTGCAAAGAGAGTTCCAGTCCATTTAGGGTTACATGGTAAGACTGTCTCAAAATAAATAAAAATTAAAAAAAAATTATCTGTATTTGTCTATGTGGAGGCCAAAGAATATTTTGTGTATCATCCTCAGGAATGCCTCTACCAGGTCCCCATTTCTGAAGAGAAACCAGTGTGAACACAGCTATGGGGATTACCCTGGTAGGACAAGACCTCTTTTGTGTGAATGGGGAGGCCATTGGACTTTCAAGACCTTTGTCTTGACCAGAGAGCTGTTTTCAGACCCGTTTGGGAAAGGTCATGAAGTTATGTTTAAAAATGTGTAGGTAAGGGCTGGAGAGATGGTTAAGCTGTTGAGAGCCAGGCTCACAACCAAGAATGCATAGGTAACCCAAGGAAAGTGATATATGCCTTTAACTCCAAGTACTGAGAAGCCTGTGATAAGAGAATCTCAAGTTCAAGGCTAGTCTCTGCTACAAAGACTACCGACCACTGTCTTTAAATATATAAATAAAAAGACAAAGGAAACCCAAACAAATTAATACAGAAAATATCATATTCCTGACCTACCCCCCAAATTCTCACAGCTCCAGGTGGAGCACTGTGCTGTTCTCAACAGCAAATCCATTCCTGCCACAAAGACAAAATGCCTGAGATGGTAGAGTTGTGCAGTTCAGAGTTGGTACTGTCTTCTCTTGGAGGCCTATCCTCCAGAAACTTCAAGGTATCTTCATGTGAACGACTTGTCACTTCAAAGTAAGAGACGTGCACACTGACCTCACCTTCATCTCCTTAACCTGGCTCCCTTGTCCCCTCTCTGCCCTTTCTTTCCAAGCACTTCTGCAGTCCTTACAAGTTAGGCAGGGACTTCCACATCAGTCCCGGCTGTGCTCATCACCCACTTTCAGGTTGTTGGGAGATCCCACTGCCTCTTTCTCCGAGGTACCTCTCACAAGTATCTTTCCTTTTTGGCCTGGGCCACCAATCTGGGCCAGGTCATTGGCTCGCTCACAGCAGCCTGGATTCACACCTATGGTCTGCACGCTGTGGCCAGATCACCTCTACTCTTATTAGGTATTTTACTAGCTTATTTTTAAAAATAATCTATTTATTCTTATTTTATGTACACTGGTATCTTGCCTGCATGTGAGGGTATCAGATGCCCTGGAACTGGAACTACAGATAATTGTGAGCTGCCATGTGGGTGCTGGGAACTGAACCCAGGTTCTCTGGAAGAGCAGCCAGTGCTCTTAACTGCTGAACCATCTCTCCGGCCCCTCACTTGCTCATTTAAAAGTCTACAAAGTCTCATGGCTTATCCACCTCACACCACTAGGTCATATGATCCACATTCACCAATACTCCACAAAAAATTGTCTATTTTCAGCAAACCCCAGTCACTGCTCCCACTCCAGTCACCTGAGCCTTCTCAACATCACCCTCAAGTCAAGCCCACTTTTGCCTCTACTACCCCTCCTCCTGTCTGACATGACTTATCTCAGCTCAAGTTTCCATGCTGTCCGTTCTTCAGCATCCACTGCACCAAGCGAGAACTTTCTCTTGAGATTTTAAAAAATGATTTATTTTTATGTGCATTAGTTATTTGCTTGTGTGTATTTCTGTGTGAGGGAATCTTATTCATTGAAACTGAAGTTACAGACAGCTGTGAGCTGCCTTGTGGGTGCCGGGAATTGAACCCGAGTCCTCTGGAAGAACAGTTAGTGCCATCTCTCCAGCCCTGGGAGAACTTTCTAACTCCTCCAGGTCTCATAGATTCTTTCCCTCTCCTGATTTCTGTGATACCCTTCCAAATTCAGCAACTGCTCTCATTGTTTCATCTACTCAAATGGTTTCTCAGGACTATTAAATCTGTAAAAGCAGGAACTATTTTTCCTTCATGCTCTAATATTATTGTAACAAAATCAGCATATTAGGCAGACTAAACAATAGTGTTTCTTTCTGGGAGTGATGGAGTACATGGCTGTAATTCCAGCACTTGGGAGGTAGAAGCAGGAGGATCCAGAGTTCATTTTCTACTACATAAGCCATCCTGGGACAACATGAGACCCACTCAATGAGATTCATCACTAGACCCATTTGAATGTCTAACAGTAAGAAGCCTGAAGAGGCTGTCCCCCTCTCAGGTCCTGCCCTGGGTCATTTGGATCGCAGTCATTACTCAAGAGCCTGGGGAATAGAAGCTCAGAATGAGCAAGGCCTTTGCTCTGGCTCCCGGTTACGAAGACTAGCAGGAGAAGAATGCATGCAGAGGTAGGGCGCCGGCAAGGCAAAGCAACTGTTAGTCCATCAGTGGGAGGAGTGGGGAGGGAAAGTGCCGAGAGAAGATAGCTGGGTATGGAATACATGGGTCATCTGTAGCTGAGCACTTAACCAGCATAGCAGGGTTTACCATCTAGAGATGCACTGTTCTTTAGAAGGTCAGTGGAGAGCTAAATACATTTCAGATCACCGTATCTGAACAACACTATTTTCTTCTGGATCATTTTAACATTAATACAACTTCCAAAGAAATGGTCATCATTCATCTAGAGACAAGTCAGGTGTGCAAGATGAAGGTGCCAGGCTATTTATCCTGTTCTCTCTTTCTCTCCCCTTTCCTCCCCCTCTTTGTTGTTGTCGGTTTGAGACAGGGTTTCTCTGTGTATCCCTGGTTGTCCTGGAACTCGCTCTGTAAACCAGGTTGGCCTCGAACTCAAGGAGATCCACCTGCTTCTGCTGGGATTAAAGGTGTGTGTAACCACCTCCTGGTTTATCTTGTTTTCTGACTGAAAGTGAGTATCGATACTAGCCATGACAGACTCTATTGTAGTTCATAATATCTGCAAGCAGTTTTTCAGGAAGGATTTTCACGTTCATGTGAAATAGTCACTAGGCAAGGCACTGGCCACTGGAGGTCTATGAAGGGCAATACTATTGCAGAATGATTAGGTATTGCTGGGAACTGCTTAGGGAAGAAAACAGACCTGAGAAGGTAAGAAGGCCAGAGCAGTATTTGAAGTCAAAGCTATACCTTCACTAGGAACTTCACCCAGCTCCCCTGCAGGGAAAGCAGACACCCCTGGTAAACATCTCACACCAGAGACTGCAGCTATGTGCAGAGAAAGCCACGGTTCTGCTTTCCTTCACTCCATCAGCTCCTATTCCAGGGGAGGCTGCTGGTAGAGTCCACAAGAGGACTGGTACTGTCTGTCTGGTTTGAGGCTAAGCCTCTGTTAGAGTGTTAACATGGCTCCCAGAGCAGGATGGCTCCTGAGCACTCTCAGAAACAGTGTGCTTTCCTTACATTATCCAGATAAACTAGACACAAAAACCTGCCTAGCCTTGGATTTTTCCTGGCAAACAGGAGAACCAATTGGAGTCCTCAGGCTGGTTTCTTAGCAGTTTGCTTTGCACTAAGTGGATCTGGAAGCCGGTTTTTTTTTTTTTTTTCCTTTGT